TTCTTCAATTTTACACCCAGTTTTGTTGTCAATTAAGTCCTTATTAACTGGTGCTTTTTGCAAATTGGTCTTTGGTTGTAAATTTTGTCAATTTAACCCTAATTGATCTAAAAACTTGAATTTTCTTAATTATTATGCTAATTACAAACTGTCATTTTGTTTCTCGAAAAGCATCTTCTAATAAGAACGAGTCATCTAGCCATAAGGATCCCCACAGTTCTACATGAGACAGACAAAAATCATTAGAAAGGTAAAAAGTATTTCATTAAAGATGACTTTTTAAAATCTTTATGTATTGAATACGTAAAGACTTGGGGGCTATTAATGGGTTAACATATTTTATACACAACTCTTTATATATCGATAAAGTACCATGTCCAGGTGACGTAGATCTAGTTTTATTTCTATCCCTAAAACATTTGGGTTCAACCACAAATCAAAGCCAAAGGCATTTGGATTTGGCAAGATGGTAGACCCAACACACTCAATACCATTAGGCTCAGCTATGTGCTGAGCTTAAACACTTGTAAGTCTAGCAAGATATAAGACTCAACACACCTAACACCTTTAGATTTAGCTATATGTAGAGCCCAAACGCATGTGGGTTTTGCAAGATGCTAGATCCAACCCTTTTAAGTTCGGCTACACGCTGATCCCAAACACTTGTGGGTTTCACAAAGTGTCAGACCCAACTCCATTGGACTTGGTTACACGCCGAGCCCAATCGCATATAGATCTTAGAAGGCTCTAGACCTAAATCTCTCGTGCTCGGCTACACGCTGAGTCTAAACACATGTAGGTCTAGACAAATGCTAGATCTAAAATCCTTGAGTTTAGAATCATTTTAAATCCAAACATATAATCAATGGCCTTTTTGGCCTCATGTTGGGTTGCAAGGCTATCCCTAAAACCCTAGTAAGAGCTTAGGATTGTCGTTTCCCTACACCCCTAAGTATATAAAAGTTCTATAAGAGTTGGTTATATTTCAATCAAAATCAACTCTATGAAAGGATTATTGCCATCAATATCAATTTTGTATACGAAATAAGATATGAAAGTTTTTTATAGCTTTATTATTTGTCCATCAGCATTAATGATATGTAAGAAGACATTTCTAATATCATTAATGTTGATGTAATGGACTTTTTCCTTACCAAGATATTCAACAGGAAAAGACTCATGACCTCTTAAGCAAAATAACAATGTTCAAATAGCAAGGACGATAAATACTTTTTGAACTATACAGTTAAAGGGTTTACAATCTTTATTCTTGACACGACTAAAAGATTGATGTCTTCTTCAAGTACAGGAGTGTCAAAGTAACAAATAACCCGGCAAGATCAAGGTCAAACTATAGGGAGGTCAATTGTATGAATTATAGATGACAATAATACAACAACAATAA